TAGTTGAGCACAGTAATAGCTCATGGATCTGTAATCAAAATATTAATGTTAACTTTTTATTTAAACCCAATAGAGAGAACTTAATATCAAAAAGTATTATTAAACTTTGTGAGCCCCAAATTTTTATTCTTTGAGTAATTGCTTCTTACTAATGTTGTAAATTTTTTAATTCTTGATTTTTCTAGGGATTATTTCACATTTCAGCTGCTTTTGTTTTCTACTGCTATCATTGAGGGTTCAAGAACAAAAAATAAGTCTTCAGGTAAAATGCCTGATCCATAATAGTGCTTGGCATTGTATTTTGCTGAAAAGATCATATACCTGTTTGGATGCTTGATCTGAAAATAAAGTTGCGATGATTATGAAATTTCCGCATGGAGTTTTCTTGGCTGCCTCTAACAAATTCAATCTTATTTGTTGGTTTGGTGTTTTTTGTTTTTTAAGAATTTTGGCTGTTTGCTTTCATTTTTTTTTTTTTCATGTTGTCTTGATCTGCAATAACTATACGGATATGTGCTTGGACCTGCTAAATATTTTAATTTTGCATATTTTGGCTGCTTGAATTTTAAGTAATTTTCTTGGACAATGCAAATTTTAAGAGCTTGAGAAGGCTATAAGTGAAATATCAATTAACAGAAGTTTGTAACTAGTTTATAAATATATCTTTATTGCATACTATATATTTTAATGCTTTATAGTTTACCAAAATTTAAAAAATTAAAAATTCAGTTTCTCAGTTGCACTGGCCACATTTCAAGTGCTGTTTTCAGGCAGTATGTGTCTAGTGGTTATCATTGTGGACAGCACAGATAAAATATTTTTTTTAACAGAAAATTCTCTTGCACAGTGTTGTTTTAAACTGCTTAAACAGTTAAGTGTAAGCTCATTTCTGACACCAGTTTTTATAACAGTTCAATAACTCCAGAAGATAAAGCATGTGACCAGTCTTGAGACTACTTCCTCTGAATATATAGACATCCGTAGCCTGAGTATTTCATACTTAAAGTTGTCTCAAACAGTTCATTTGCTTTGGTATTTATGCTACTTTAAAGTAAAGTTGTTTCTTGTAGCAAAATAAATGAAGCAGGAAAAGGCCAAAGACTTAGCCTAAATTTGAATCCTGACCCCAGGACTTACTAGTTTAGTAACTGTTGGTAAGTTACTGTACTTCCTTGAGCCTCAGTTTCCTTATGTATAAAATGAAGGTAGCAGTAGTTACTTCATAGGATTAATGTATGCTTAAATATGTCTAAAAGCATGTAACAGTGGATATTTGTAATGCTTTTAAAATACAGAGTGAGGCCCAAAACATTTATAAATTAATTAGGCAGTGTCATTTGCATAGAGTTGCTCTCAGCCTGGCAATTGTAATAGGTGCCTAGAGTATCTCACAGACATTTCTCGTCATCATGGGGTCATTTTTACTACTCCAGATGCTTAGGAGAGCAACCACACTTTCTGAAAAGTAGCACAACTTTAGTTCCCTGTTTGCAGTCTCACGTGTCTCCCTTGATCATTGCTCATACAGAGAGAATCCAGATTAGCCAACTATGATTGTTAAGTCTGGTAGTGTTTCCTTCTCTGTTACTTTAATAGAAGTTTTGGCTAGTTAGTAGTCTACCCCAAGTATTTCAGTCATAAAGTGTTGACTTCTTAATGGCTATGGGTAGTGTCTTCATGAATGTTTTCAACTGACCGGCTGAAGATTTTTAATAATCTTTTCCCAACTTTTTCAGTGTCTTGGATTTAGTGTTATTTCCAAGCCCTATTTAACTGTGAGTGTATCACATTACTAACAGCTCTTGCACAGTTATAAAACGTAGTTCCTCCTGTGAAGGCAAAAGCTCAAAACTTAATAAGGGTGTGAGAGGAGAATACTCTAGCAAACCCCCAGGTAGGCAGAAATTAATCATATCACACAGTAGATTTTTAAAACTGAAAATGTTTCCAAGCATACAAAGACAGATTGTATTGAAAACAAAACTTTAAAATTTGGAAGTTAAGCATTTGCTGTTTGAAGCAGTAATCATAAGGTTTGGAGTACGAGTGAACTATCATCTAACTCAGAATTGCTTATCAAAGTGCAGTTGAATAGTGGCTATAATATGGTAACATTAGCTTTTAATTTTCTGAGCAGAGATAATTTCACTAGAAATTTTTTACGGTGGATATTGGCTGCTTCTGCATTAAAATCAGTGTGCTTAGAATGTTTTTGTATCTAGGTATGCCTTTTTAATACAGCAAATAGAGATTTGAAGGATAGTTCTAATTACTTTTCATTATGTGGGCTTAAAGGAGCTTATGAGTAAAATGACTGACTTTAATACAGCATTCTGATTAAACAAAAAATATTTTTTAAAATGATCTCAAAGACTTAAAAATTTTTATTGCAGTAAAGAAATGTGTTGGTCATAGAGCAACATAAAAAGTGTTGTAAGATAGTTATTTTTCTGTCCGCAGTGTATTCAGAAGCCTGTACTTAGTGGACTTTTACTTATTTCCGTTTGGTGTTGGTAATCTATAACATGGGCTTATGTGGCAAAAATGCTATTTGTTAAAAGCTGACTTATCTCATTGTCTTAATTTATGATAAATGAGCTTTGATGGTTCATTTATATTTAATTCTAGATGTAATGTTAATATATTACAAAAAGTGGAAAATGTGATGCCCTATTCTGTCAATTCTAAGACACGCTTTTTGTCACACTTTAACAGTTCTGAAAATGAGATGTGTCGTAAATCGATGTTGTGCTATAGTTTAATAGAAGCATTTTTTCTTACTTGATGGTCTGTATACAAAGCAAATGGTTACATCTTATAATCATTGATGTTTTAGGTTTGATAAAATGTTGATTTTTTGATGTTTGGTGTACAACTTATATTCACATAATTCTTTGTTAAGATATTGGTGTATATTTGTGGTAAAAAAAATCTAAATAGTGAGAATATACCATATTACTTGGATTTGTAAACTTTCACTAAGTTTTTTTAGTATTTCCTTCAGATCCTTTTCAGTGCTATCATACTAATTATGTGCTTAACATTCAACTGGTTCCCTATCTGAATTTTCTGTTGAAAGATACCAGAACAATAAGAGAAAGATGGAGATCGAGAGAAGAGGCTTGAGGTTTAGGGTAGGGTAGGAGTAGAGGGTGGGGCCTCCAGAATTTTGAGAAGAAAAATGGGGAAAGGGGACTTGACTTGATGGCAGGGAAGTAAGCAACATTTTCCATTTAACCAGCTTTGTTTGTCCAGAAATCTTTTCCTGTTTCAGTGTCTGGTTGCAGTATATTAGCTTGTGAGCTACGCAGTAGGTAGCTAAAATCACTCTGAATGCATTCCCTCGATTCAGGCCGTAATAAACCCTTCTTGCTGAGGCCTTTCCTTATTCTGCAGAAGTTGCCCTGTTGCCTTCTCCAGCCTTCCAAGTAAATCATCTGTTGGTATCTTCTCTTCTACAGGCCAAATAGAGTTGGTGTGTTCTCCTAATATGCTGTCTCAAAATGAATAATTAAAGGAGGAACTGCTTTGTGTAGAATTAATTTCTCTACCAGGAACTGTTACAGATATATGTACAGAGGATGTATACTCTTGAACAGTTTATCCATACTCTTCAGTAATGGCATGTTTTCATTATTCCACATTTTAAAAGCATTATAAGGCATATCTTGCTAACAAACTCTATTTTAGGGAAAATCCTTTGAGGAATTAAAATTTAACATTAAAATATAATTTAATTTTCAGTATGAAACATAGATTGAGAGAACCTTTTTTATTTTTTCAAAAGGAGCTTTTGTTTTATAAAGGAGTTTACCCTTGGAGATTTTAAATATACCATAGTTTTTAAAATACCCTGCAGAGCCCTTTGGAAACCACTCTTATTATGGCTGCCTGAAGTAAACTTGGTATTGTCATGGGAAAAGTTTATAAAGAATTGCTGTATCCAGTGTCTGAAATCCTCAGGTTTCTTTCTTTTTAATTGTAATTTTTTTTATTTTAAAGATGTGAGGTACAATTCAGGATTAGGTATACAAGCGGTCATCGTACAGGTAAAGATTGGGCCTACCTTTGGTCCCCACTTTGCCTGGTTTGAGATCAGGTACTCTTATTAATGTTATGTGGGACCCCCACTCCAGCTGGCTACTGCCAATCTTTTTCTTATAGTATTATGATAAATGTTCAGGGTCCACTTATGAGTGAGAACATATGGTACTCTATTCTTTGTTTCTGTGATAAATCACTGAGTATTATAGACTCTCCATCTATCCAAGTTGTTGCGAAGTCCATAATTTTGTTCTTCTTTATGGCTGCATAATATTCCATCAGGTATAGATATACCACATTTTTTTTTAATCACATCCAGTTTCAATGGGCAGCATGGTTGGTTCCAATGTTTTTGCTGTTGTAAATAGTGCTGAAATCCTCAAGTTTTTAGAAGTCTTTCAGAGTGTACACAAAAGCTTTGCTCTTCCTTTGCATTTTCCTAAGTTAAGTAGCTTTTAAAAAGTCTCATATTCAGGGTGATTTCTTGAACCTATCTAACTTTATTATTTTAGAATTTTAAAAATTATAATAGTATTTTATTTTCATATCATTTCAGCCACATTACACTCTAAATTTATTTGAATGATCTTGGGCACCATACTAATAAAGAAGAGTAGAAGAAGGAAAATGAATTTCATATTACAAATAACATACTTACTGATAAAGTTAAGAGCAAAATCCTTTGTAATCTGGGTGATTCTTTCTTGTTTTTACTTACTGTAACACCTCAATAAAATAGAAATGGAAATGCGAGGCACTGTCTGTAATAAAGATAAAACATTATTCACTTGTTTATGAATAGTATTTCAAATATAGATGCTGACTTTTATGTATTTCTGACAAAAGGTATGCCAAGCAAGGTAGAATCACTACTCTTTATAAACTAGCATTCATATAATTACTTTTCCAATTTGATGGGTAATTTTATTGTCCTTAATTCATTTTCTCTTTCTTCAGAGGATGTACTGAGTAAAGATGCAGGGGAATGTGCAATATGCCTTGAAGAACTGCAGCAGGGAGATACTATAGCACGACTGCCTTGTCTATGCATATATCATAAAGGGTAAGTTGATTTTATGTTGATCAAGTTGATATTTAGAGTAGATGATTGTTCTCACAGTTTCAGACATTGCTGAAAAGATTTTGTCTTCATTGAATCCCCCCCATACTACACCACACACACACACACACACACACACACACACACACACACACACACACACACACTTTTTAAAAAATGACCTTTAGGCTGGGCTTGGTGGCTCAACCTGTAATCCCGCGCCTTGGGAGGCGGTGAGTGAATTGTCTGAGCCCGCGGGTTCGAGACCTGCCTGGGCAACTTGGCAAGACCTCATTTTTACAATAAAAAAAAAAAAAAAAAAAAAATTAGCCGGGCGTGGTAGCGCACGCCTGTAGTTCTAGCTACTTGGAAAGCTGAGGCGGAAGGATCGCCGGAGCCCAGCAGGTCGAGGCTGCGGTGGCCGGGAGCGGCCACTGCACTCCAGTCTGGGCAACTGAGTGAGACTCCAACTCAAAAAAAAAAAAAAAATGACCTTTTTTCCCTGCTAGAACTAAGACCTGAACTCACATGTGTTTGTATACAAAAGGTTACCATTTTAAAAGCATTTACTCTGACCTAGGTGTTGTCCATAGCCTCTTAAATAGGTAATCTAATGTAAACCTTATGACCATCTTAGTTTATAATTGAGGAAATAAGCTAAGGGACAATAGGGAATTTCTTCAAGTTTACCTGGCTAGTAAATGGCAGAGGTGAGTTTCCAGTAAATTTGGAATATGCTTGACTCCAAAGTCTGGTTTCCCATACAGTATTCTTGCTTTCAGAGAAGTTAAGGAAAAATTTTAGGTAAACAACAACCAAAAACTATTTAAGGTAATCACAAACAGAAAATTATAACCTTCAAACCAATGAAAATAAGGTGGAATTTTACTTAAGGGGGGAGGGTGGGTGGGAGAAAACAGTAAATAATAGAAAGTAAGAAGGCAAAAATAAATCCAGTATATCAAATATTATAATAAATCCATATAGAACTCACTAGTTGAAAAACCAATTGAAAGGTTGGGATATGTTGTTGATAAACAACACATTTAAACATAAAGACATAAATGTGAAAGTAAAAGAGTGAAAAACTATATCTAGGCATATATATACTAAAAGCTAAAGTAGTATTAGACAAAGTAAACTTTACAGCAAAAATCATCATTAGGGACAGAGATGCTGTATAATGGTAGAGATTATGTAAAATTCTATTTTGTGTATGTCTAATCTCAAAGTAAAATATTTATAAAACTGTCAGAAGATATTGACAAATCTATATTATAATGAGATATTTCAACACACCTACATAAACACACACACACATACACACAAAGAGTCAATACCTAGCAAAATTGAACAATGCAGTTAACACGTTTGATCTAATGGATGTGTATGTCTTTATATCTGTATCCAACAACTAAAGAATTTATTTTCTTTTCAGACACACATAAAATATTATAGAAATTCCACGTCTCAGGCCATAAAGCAAATTTCAGCAAACTACAAACAATTAGTACCATATAGAATGCTATTTTCTGACTACTATTAGCTATCAATAATAAAAAGATAATAATCCTCACATATACTTATAAGTAACTTGTGAATCAAAGAATAAACCATATGGTGTTTAGAAAATACTTGGAACTGAATAATAATGAAAAGTTTTTGTTATGTACTTAGACTGATTCTTGAAGTTTCATGTAAGGGTAGAAAGAAAGACTGGAAATCAATAGACCAAGTTTCTTACTTAAGAAATTGAAAAAGTAACAGAATAAACACAAAGAATATCAAGGCCAGGCATGGTGGCTTACACCTGTAATCCCAGCACTTTGGGAGACTGAGACAGGAGGTTCATGACCAGTCCTGGGCAATGTAGCAGGACCTCATTTCTACAAAACAAATAATAAAAAATTAAATAGCTGGGTGTGGTAGCATGTACCTGTAGTGTCAGCTCTTTGGGAGGCTGAGCTGGAAGGATCACTTGAGTCTAGGAGGTCGAGGCTACAGTGAGCTGTGAGTGTGCCACTGTACTCCAGCCTAGGTGACAGAATTGAGACCTTGGCTCAAAAAAAAAAAATCGAAAGAAGAAAATAATAAAGATCAGAGAATAAAATAATTAAATAAAAAAATGATGCACTGGAGATCCACAGAGCCAAAAGTTGGTTCTTTGAAAAGACTAGTAATAGGATTCCTCTCAAAGGGAAAAAATGAGAAATGTGACTTCAGATACAGAAGAAATTAAAAATAATCAGAAAAACAGTTCTGTAGACGGTTTGACAATGAGTTCAACCAGACATTCAAAGAATACCATGTTAACAATCTTAAATTCTTCCAAAAAGTAGAAAAATATGGAAGGTTCTACCACTTATTGTATGAGAAAAGTATAAACTTGATACCAAATTCAGATAAAGACGGTACAGAAAGGAAAATTACAAAGTTCTCTCATTTATGCAAAAATTCAAAAACGTTAGCAAACCTATTTCAACTATATCTAAAATAATACCTCATGACCAAATTGGATTTATGCTAGTAATGCAAAGATACTATAGGATAGAAAAGTTGTACATGTAATTCAGTACATTAACGAATTAAAGGAGAAAAAATTAACCCAATAAATGTGAGAAGGCTTTCAGCAGAATTCTGTACTTCGGTGTTAATGATTTTAGAACAAACATTAGATAAAATACTAAAATTTAGAAGTGTTCAGGGTTGCCAGATATGAGATCAACATGTATCAATCAGTTGCATTCATATTTCTATAAGAAGAAAGAAAATATAATTAAATAATATAATTTAAAAATTACATGAATGGCAACAGAAACTACAAGGGATATGAGGTATATTAGAAATAAATTCTACAAAAAGATATGCAAGACTTTCCTTTAGAGAAAATTTTAAAACTTTGTTAAAAGATTATATTATAGACAATCTAAAGTAAATGTGGAAGTATAACATGTTGTGGATTGGAAGAGTCAAGTGAATAAAGATGCTTTTTTTATAACAAATTAATCTGTATGGTTAATACCTCCCCAGTTAAACTCAGCTAGTTTTTTTTCCTTCATGTAACTTGATAAGTTGTATCTAAAAATTCACATGGACCAAAGAGTGAAGGGCCAAGAACACCTGAAGGATACCATGTTGTAAATGTATTATAAGACCATATTAATTAAGACAATATGGAAATGGCACAGGTTAGCCAGTGGAACAGAATGGAATTCATAAACACTCATGCCTATTTGGAGAGGCAGTACAGTGTGGGGGTTAAGAGCAACAGGACTCCCAAGATTTGAATCTCAGCCCCTTCACTAATTCACTGGCTGATCTTGGTTAAAGACAGACCACTTAAATAACACAATTTTATAACCAGAACAAAAGTATGTTCATCCTTAATAAATATTACTGTAAATTAAATATGTCTCTCAATCTGGAGGATAAGGACAGTAGAACTAACTTTATAGAGTTATGAATGTTTAAATGATTTAAATTTTTGAAAATGCTAGCACATAATAGATGCTACATGAATGTTGTTGAATAAATTAAAAATGATTTGCCAGAGATGATACTACAGTATAGTAGAGAAAGAATGAACTTTTCGTAAATGGTGCTGGTATCAATTAGTTATTGATATGGAAAAACAGTTGAATCCCTATCTTGCATTTGAAATAAAAATTGATTCCAGGTAGACTAAATACTTGTCTGTGAAAATCAAAGTCTAAAGTAATGAGAAAAGAATATGGGGAAATGTTTTTGACTTTTCGTAAGGAATTATTTTTTTTTCTTAAGTGATACCTTCCCTTGCCAAAAAAAAAGTAATGATTCATAAATGTGACTGTATTGAAACTTAAAACTTGCTTGCATCATGACACGGCAAAAAATTGGAAAACTAGACCTTAGGCAAGGATTGTTTTCAACACACATAACAGCAAAGGTTTGATATCTAAAATAATATTCTCCTTCAATGACTTTCTGTAATATAATGAACTCATTGCAACTGGTAAATGGGAGAGTGAAGACAGTATAACGCCAAGATCTTACTGGCTCATACGTAATGTTTCTCAGCACATTAATGTTTTGCTCCTTTGAATAACAGCAGATGAAAGCATATATGCTAACACAACAAACTGCGTAAGAGTACAGTACTATGAGAATACTCATCTCCCTTGTTCTTACTCTTAGTTTAATTAGGCCATGAGCTTCGTTTTGAAAGTGCTTATTTCACAGTTCTCACATTCGGTACAGTAGCTTTTATCTCTATAACGTGGCAGGCTCACTCCTACCTTAATCTTCTTTCTGCTAAACTAAATTCACCATTTAAAAAATAACATATTTCATTTACAGTAATATTTATTAGGAATGAACATACCTTTGTTCTGGTAATAAATTTGTGTTAAGTGGTCTGTCTTTAACCTGATTTTTCCCTATGAGCCCTGCTACTTTTAGTGTATAATTTTATGGAAAGTAAGGTTTTCAAAAACATGTATATTTTATTAGAGTTGAAATACCTGGATAGTAGCTTCCTAAGAATACAAGGAAAAGACAAATCAAAATAGAAAATTGGGCAAAAATTTTTCTCCATTCAGAAAAAATGGAACCTCAAATGACCAATAAATATGCAAATATAAATTGATAACTTGACAGATAACTCTAATAGCTGTATGTAGTACATATCCTACAACTCAATGATTTTACCCCTACATATATGCCCTAGAGAAAATCTTGATCTTTTGCTTTATGACAATGCTACTACTCAAAGTTTAGGTTCAGAAGGAGATAAGAAACTTGTGCTAGAATGTAAGTAAGCACAGTGTTTCATTCATTGGGAAATTCTTACTATGATTTAAAAAAAAGAAGTCACTTGAAACAGTGTGACTAATGGGGAAATTAATTTATATATTCTGGTACAAGCTCCTTATCTCAAAGAATTTTCATAACATCATTGAAAATATCTATCATTAAAAGAATGGATACACAGATTGTAGTGTGTGATGGGGGACCAAAAAAAACAACCCTGGAATTTATTTATTAAAAATTGTGTATTTATTTTTACATGTTTAAACTTCAGTCACCTTAAATACTCTCTGTTTGATGGAACACACCTATCAAGATGCTTTTTTCACTGCTAAAAACAGTTTTTGAACTTGTCTATTTTGTTGCCTTTTAGTGCTTCTGCTATTTTTTGTTTTACCTCTTCCACATCAGCAAAATGTTTTCCTTTGAGGACTTTTTTCATCCAGGGAAACAAAAAAATGTCACTCAGGGTGAGACTGGGTGAATAGGGAGGGTGGGGCACGGGAATAATGCCATTTTTGGTCAAAACTGCTGAACACTCAGCATGGTGTGGGCAGGTGCACTCGTAAATCACCCATCATGAAATGAGCAAATGTGTTGAAAGAATCCCCAGGGCAACCCGCTTCTGGGTCCCTTCTTGCTGTCGAGAACTTTCCTGTCACTTAATAAACTCCATCTCAAAACAAAAAAGAATCTCCAAAAAAAAATTTACTGAAGTCAAACATAGCCTCTCACAGCAACACTAGCTGGTGCACTGATGCTTATGGGTTCCTTGAAGACTTACCTAGCAGAGGAAGTTTGTACTACAAGGGGCCTGCTCTCCAAAAGATAATTTGGGGTTTTTTGAGATCCCCTCTTGTGTGTACATAATGGAATGTTATATACAATAAAAAGGTAAAACTTATTAACAATTGGAAGTCTCAAACATATTGAGTGAAAAAAACAAGTTAGAAAAAGCATAATGCTGTTTATGGTAGTATTTATATACAACTTTAAACATGGAAACAGTACTATATGTTGTTTTAGAATATGTACATATATAGTTATAGAGTAAGAAAATGCCTAAGAATGAAAATCACCAAATTTGGGATAGTGCTTTTCTGCTGGAACTGATAAAAGTATCTCTCTCTCTCTCTCTCTCTCATAACCAATGAAAATAGAGTAGAATGCAACATACGTGTATTGATAGCAGTTTATGTGAAAACTACCTAGGGTTTTAAAGGTTTACTTTCTATGATGAGCCAAAATGCACGGTTGTAAAATAAGAAGTACCCATTTTAGATCAGACATGGGTACTATTCAGATATACTTTGAATTAACATATCTGGAGTATTTTGTTTAGTTCTCAGAACTTCATTTTAAGAGATATTCTGGCAGATCAGGGGACCTCAAGTGCCAAATGGTAGAGAATAGATTGCAAACAATGTCGGAAGCCAAGTTTAGAAAACAAAAGTCTTAATGGCAACAGAAATGTAGATACCTAAAAGACCATATAGATGTGGTACTTTACCTTTTTTTCTTTTTAATTTAGTCTAACATGTTTGCCTACCATCCAACCTGTCAGGATATGAAAATTATAAATGTTAATTTTGCCCTTCAGCATGTTAGCCAAACTTTGAAGCTTTACAGATTTGTTGTATCACCCTTGAAAATGTTGAACGGTTTGAAATCTGCTTGGATAGTGCTGGTAGGCAAGTTACTTAACCTTTCAAGACTTTGATTTTATCATCTAACGCAGCACTGTGAAATAGAACTTTCTACCATGATGGAAATGTTCTATATTATCTGTGCTGTCCAGGAGGGTAGCCATGAGCCTTGTCACTATTGAGAACTTTAAATGTGTGCCTAAGGAACTAGATTTTTTTCTTTTATTTGATCTTAGTGAATTTAAATTTAAAAAACTACATGTGGCTCTTGGCTATTTGTACAGTGCAGATCTACAGTGAGGATAATTATATACATCCTAATATTTAACTTGTAAAAAAATAATAAAATACTTTATAAATGCAAAGAAATGATTGGTATATTTGTGTATGTATATGTATTGCAGAGTGGGATAGAATTAAAATATTCAGTAATTATATAAATATGGTCTTTTAAAATGTGATGAAATATTGGTAAGTATTAAATTTAAAAGGTGTTCTTTATTACATTGATAGGTGAAATGAAGACGTTGATAGGTACATAAATGAATAACTTTTGGAAAGAGAAATATGTATCCAAATTTGTCATTTAATTTGAATATTGGTAAAGTAGTAGTACTTTAGATTGTTGGGAATAAGTGTTTTGCTTGAACTTCAAAGTACTTTAAATCATAATTTTGCAATGGTATTTTTCCTTAATGACTTAGAGCAATCAAAATACAATATTTTTAGCTTTTATTTATATATGCCAAATATGATAATCACAAACGTTGATTTTTTTTTCCTGCAAAGATGCATTAAAGTTAAGAAGTAAACATTTTATTGCAACTGTCATAATATAAATATAAATAATTAATACAATTAGTTGATTATAATATACATTAATTTTATTAACTAATATAAATAATTTCACTTTTTTCTGGGTTTGTTCTTTTCTAGCTGCATAGATGAATGGTTTGAAGTAAATAGATCTTGCCCTGAGCACCCTTCAGATTAAGCATCCGATTCCTGTTTCATAGGTAATTCTCTTTTTGTAAAAAAAATTCTATTTAAAGTGCTATATTGAATTACACATTCTTAATCATCATTTTTATTCATTCATTTATTCATTAGGTACATGTGTGTATGTATATATGTATGCTTCAGGCACTGTGGGCTACTGTATAGAAAATTCAGCCTAGAAAATTCATGTTAAAAATAAATTAAAAACAGCAACTTTCTTTTTCCTGAATAGGGCCATATCTTGAGTAAATACTACATTCTTGGTACTTTAAAACACATTCACTTATTTAATTTTAGTTTAATACTTTTAAAAAACCCATGAAGTACATAATAAACCCATTTTTTAAATGAGAAACCTGAGGACCAGTGTAAAGTCCCATGACTCTAAGAAGCAAGTTATACCAAACTCATCAAGTTGTGTATGTTAAATTTTGATAGCATTTTTTTATATATCAGTTAGTATACCTCAATAAAGTGGTTTAAGAAAAAAAACAAACAAGTTGCATTACGAATCTAAGTTCATACAGTTACCCAATGAAATCAAATTTCATACTCTTGTCTATAACTTCCCAGCTATGCTCTTAGGAATGTTATCATTCTAATTATTTAGTATTATTATGTGCCACGTATTGTTCTAAGCATTTTACATCTATTAGTAACTCGTCTAATTTTTATAGCAATACCTTGAACTCAGTACTATTACTATTCCTGTTATTCAGATGAAGAAATTTAGTATAGAGAGGCTAAAAAACTTGACTTGTTAAGGTCAGATAGCTAGCTTGTTGCTGGAGATAAGATTTGAACCCAGATATTTTGGCTCCAAAGACTTCTTAGTAATTTTGCTATTATTAGGTAGGAATATTTTCTTTAAAATATTCATTCTTTCATCTAATTTAATCATTTATCTTTGTATCCTTACCATACAACAATAAAGTGTCTGTCTGTATAGTAGGCAAAAATTAAATTGAATTGATTTTTTTTTTTTGAGACTCACTCTGTCACTCAGACTGGAATGCAGTGACATGGTCAACTCAGGTGACCTCCTGTCTCAGCTCCCAAGTATCTGGGACTCCAGTCACACACCACCATCCCCAACTAAGTTTTTTAATTTTTTTTATTTTTGCCCAGACCAGTCTCAAGCTCCTGGGCTCATGCCATCCTCCCATCTCGGCCTCCTAAAATGCTGGGATTACAGATGTGAGCCACTGTGCCTGACTTGAATTGAATTTTAAAACTTAATAATTAGTTTTGCTCTACTGATTTAGCTTATTTATGGTTCTGCATTATCTGAAAATGTTTAGTGAATTCAATGATAATCTCACTTGGGTTTTGCTTTTTTTCAAATTTTATGAAGTAGATTAAATGTCATCATTTTGGTTTGGGAAAAAAAAAGGCTAACTTAATTTCTCTCTTCAAATATGTGAAAAACTTTTATGAGAAGACTTTCAGAAATGATATAAAACATCAGAGAGGCAGAACATTTTAGTTAATCCTGGAATTGTTTCATAAGGAACTAAGAGTCTTTATGTTCGGAGAGTCCAGACAGTAACAGCAGGCTTTTCTGGGAGCTGAGACTGACAGCAGGACACTAGAACAGATGATGTTCTGAAGTTTAGTCCTGTGCTGTCCCTCATTTTCTTTTATTTTAATAACTTACGCTGTTAAATTTAAGAACGTAAGTGTTGAGGTAATAAGCACACTCGAGGAATTCTGTTGCTCTGTTGATGAGGATAATTTAAGAGATCTGCCTTAGAATATTGACAGAGGAGATTTGTGGTAACATAACTGCAGCCAGACCAATTGCAATTGAATGAGACCTCTGTCACAGTGCTAGTGGAGCTGTGCATGTCAGATGTAGAGGGCTTGTAAACTAAGACTATCAGCTTTTGAACCTTTTACTATGGAATGTACTCAGATCATACCTTTACACATTTAGAGAGAGGTATACTGATGGAGTGGTTATTTTTCAGTATATGTACACATACGTTTTTATTTCATCATGGAACAGGTTTTCTCAAGAGGAGTGTGTTTTGGAATGTCTTCAGTGTCATGTTAGAGCCAATAAAATGAAACTACGGCTAAAATTATAGAAGCGTTTTAAGAGAAGTACTAAAAACCAATACTAATAAAATGAAATTTTAACCTTAGTGTTTACATGCCAACGTAATATGTCCAAATCTTTTACCTGTAGATAAAGCTTGTCTTTTTAAGAGTCTGTGTTAGTGCATTTGGGCTGATAAAATAAAATATCTTAGACGGGTAATTTATAACTGACAAATTTATTGCTATTAGTTCTGGAGGCTGGGAAGCCCAAGATGAAGGTGCCAGCAGATTAAGTGTCTGATGAGGGTTTGTTTCTCATTTACTGTTCCTTCTGTGTGTCCTCACATGGTAGAAGGGACAACAGACTCCCTCAAGCCTCTTTTATAAGGACACTAACCCTATTCATAAGGGCAGAGCCCTCATGACCTAATCACCTCCCCAAAGGCCCTATTTTTAATACTGTTGCATTGGAATTAGTTTTCAACATATGAATTTGGGTGGGGGATACAAGTATTTGGACCATAGTAGAGTCGGTAAACGTTTTTGTGTGAGTTGGCATTATATAGTATGAAATTTTTTCTTTCTTTTTTTTTTTGAGTTGGAGTCTCACTCTGTCGCCCAGACTGGAGTGCAGTGGCCGCTCCCGGCCACCGCAGCCTCTTGCTGCTCCGGCGATCCTTCCACCTCAGCCTTCCAAGTAGCCGGAATTACAGGCATGCGTTACCATGCCCGGCTGATTTTTTGATTTATTGTAGAGATGAGGTCTCGCTGCCCAGGCAGGTCTTGAACCTGCGGGCTCAGGCAATCCACTCACCTCAGCCTCCCAAAGGCACGGGATTACAGGCTGAGCCACTGAGCCCGGCTATGTGTGCATTCTTTATGCTGATGTAGTCTTTATTATGGAAGGGGAATGACTTTTGTTATGTATTGACTATTTTTTTGTGACTATTTTAAGCTTTAATCAGTCATTAGTCTGTTTAATTTAATTGGTGTCTTAATCTGTTCTTTTACAGAACACTGATTTTATGTGTTTTTACATTAGTAAATATATGAACATTTCAGTAACTAAAGCAATGTTCATAGGAAAATGGATGTTGTATTTTCATTTATTTTACTGTTATGGATCACTGCTTAAACTAAACTTTCTATTTTTATGCAGGTTTTCTTGTCGTTTCAAGATGCTTGAAAAACCAAGAGGATATGAGGATCTGTCTCTGGAGAAACAAAAATGCAGGCATACTCAGCCAGAAATCTGGGTTTTGTGAGACTTGGTAATACAGAGATGGACAATCATATAGGGAAAAAAAATCCTGCTGAAGAGAGGACCGTTACCACAGAACTCAGTGTACCAAACATGCATATTAAGGACACACAGGGATTTTGAAAATGCTGCACATCCCTTAGTAGTCATCTACATAGGTAATACTGATAAACATTTTGTATCCATACGCCAAAGTTAACTGATTTAAATGTTGATTTACTTTTTATTCAGTTCTCTAGAACTGTACAACTAGTTGTATTTTGATTTGTTTGGTTTTTTTTTTTTTTTTTTTTAGTTTGGGGTCTCTTTATTTTCCCCAACATAGTGTTTCTGCATTCATCTATTCTTAAATTGAAAACCACATAATTTACTTCTTATAAATTAAAGTCTTAAATGTGAAACCAAGAAATGTAATCAAGCAGTAAAAACATTTTCTGAATGTAGACTATGATCTCAAGTTCTCCCATTTTTTTCTCCAAAAGTGAAATAGACTTCTACATAGGAAAGCTAAAATATGTTAGTATTTTTAAATTAAAGGTTTAATATTATCGGAATGCAGTCCAAAGAGTAAATCAAGTTACATAATTACATATTAAATAAATATATAATTGTCTACTGAATTGCAGTTTATTAAATATATTGTTTCCTCTTAAATAAAACTGCTCAGCAGTTAATCAGCAGTGAATCATCTTGCAGCTATGCAACTTTTTGAAAAATACCAATTATCAATTTTAAGTGCTGCCAGTTACAATAACTTTGTTTTAACGGGTATTTTTTTGTTTGTTCTTTTCATGTAATTATTTTATTGTGCTTCGCATCTCCAGGCAGTTTTTCTATATTTGGTTAAAATGTTTAGCAGGTTGTAAACTTAATAACTTAAGAAAAGGGTAAAATAAAATTTTCTGGAGTGAAACTTGGAGTAATTTGAAGGATATTTTATATACTTTTAAAAATCAGAATTTAATTGGGATGTCAGATTTATAGCAATTTGCATCTTTAATTTTCCAGATAATCTGGAGGTTAGCATTTGCTAACTGATTTTTTTAAAGCAAGTGTGAAGATTTTGTTAATTTATAATTTATTATTATTGTGTTATTACTGTAATTGAAAATGTTATAGAGAGTCTTAAATTCAGTCTTGTGTGGAAAAAACTATGTGAATAAATACTCCCACAAAATACATCTGAATGGATAAAAATACTGGAAGAGAGCTGTTAGGGCTACAATAGTGAATGTCTTTTTTTTTTTTTTTTTAAATGTCAAAAATACCGATAAGTAGGTTTTGTGTTTTCAGTATAGGGAAAATGTTATCAGTGAATACTTAGGCAGTGCACTTTACTTGATATAATTGAAAGTTACACAGTACTGTTTTCTTATTTTAAGCTTTCTTTAATATATTTAAGAATTTGCTTTTTTAATTTACTGCTGCTACTTATTCTTCTCTGAATTTTTTTTCCCTATTCTGTTGCTTCCGTTTCATATTTTTAAAAGGGCAAGTACAGGAGCAACTGCTGCTACCCAGATACACTTAATTATAAATAAGTAAAAGTTTTTAATTGCTTTCTGTGTGATTCAAGATCAGATAACATTTTCCCTAAAGTTATGCTGTGAAATGCCTTTTGTTATGCTGCAATTGCTAAAAGAATCCAAAACCTCCATTGTGACAGCTGACAGCACAGTTTCATAGGTGCTTTTTAAACCAGTTATGGAAAATTTTCTTCCCTCGAGGAAAATACTCTTTTCTTAAGTTTTTTCTGTTATCATGAAATCTTACTTTGAATTAATTTTATTTCATATTTTCAATTTTGTAAGCTTTCATACCCTCTCATCCAACCCCCTCAAGTAAAATCTCTTAGAATGTGAATAACTGATTTGTTTTCTGTTACTGGTATATGATTGTGATGAGAATTATTTTGCTATCTTTCATTCTTTAGGGAAGAGAGTAATTACATCTGTGGTAATTAAGTATATTCTCCTGGAAGTTGAAATTTCTGATGTAGTTTACTTGTTAACTTTACTTTTAAACTATCTTGGCTGACATTCACTTTTACTTCTTTATCTTATACCATCCTCTCACAATCCTAATAATTAGAATCTGTGCTGCAGCTGCTACAATAGAAGCTCCTGTGGTTTTAAAGAAAGTTCAATGTTTGTCAATGTCAAGTGCTACTTGATTATTATATTTATCTAGAACAGTATTTACTTAAATCTGTTTGTAGCAATCCCTTTTTGTTAAAATTTATGAAAGTTGGCATTTTTACTTTAAATTCAGTCCCCATCAATGGCTTCCTGAAAAGAACAATTTAGAAATTGGAGGGGGGAAAAGTTCTTAAAGACCAAATGCTCCAATTTTTACTCAAAATCAAAGTTGTTATTCTAGAAAATATTATAAGTGATATTCTATGTAATACCACTTAGAATATTTGTAAATCTATATGTAGATTTTTTATTACACTGAATAGTGTAAGTAGGACATAAAATCCCATTAGGTATTTAAATATTTAGCTGAAACTACTGATAACTAAATATTATGGGGACACAGTAAAGATTGAAAGCCTAGGTTATCAAGTGGGTTATAGCTTTCTAGAATCTTTATAAATACTCATCTTCAAATAAGATCACACGTGTGTATATAAAAAACAATATGTTCTGAAATTTCACTTTAGTGCCACTCTTTGTCCATAATGGGTTTATTGCCAATTTTGACTCCTCATCTTACTTTGATCTGGCGTTTTTTTTTTCTTGCTAGAATGTTTAAGAGAAAGTAAAATTATTCTGTCTTAATTTTGGCTCTTTGTCAGAGAACCAGACTAAGCATAGTCTTAATATATATTTTTCAGATCTGGTTAAAAATCAGGTTGTAAACTGTGTTTTAAGAACAATGTTGTGATTGAAATATAAAAAATGGTTTCTATAATTGATTTTTTTTTTGTGATAGTAGGGACAACATTAAAAAGGTCTTGTTGTTTTTGGTTTCTTAGTGCAAGTCTTATATTTCACTTATATAGTTATTTCAATTTTCACCCACCAGAGACTTTACTAGAATGTGGTCATGTTGTTTTTGGTTTTTTAGTGCAAGTCATATATTTCTGTTATATAGTTATTTCAATTTTCACCCGCTAGAGATTTTACTAGAATGTAGCCCCAAAATGACCAAGGACCACCCTCAGCATATCTTCAGTATGTATTTCAAAAATTACAATTTAAATGAGTTCATGAAAATGACAGATTCCTTTACAAACTTGACTCACAGTTGTATTTCTAAGTTTGGGTACAGTGAAGTTTAAGAGCAATCATTTCAGTTAATATCTTATGTAGTGACAGTCTTTTAAATGAAAATACCTGTAAATTCAATGTAAATAATCCCTAACTTTATGTACTAACTTGGAGAGTGGAAGAGGGGAATTTTTCTAATAATAAGCTACATTTGAACAAAGCATGAAACTCTGTTTTTTTAAAAAAAATTGAAGAATAATTGAATTTACCATCCAATTGACATCTGTACTATGCATTGATAATAATATCTAAATCATCTTATTCTTTCACAGAGGAAGTTTTCATATAAATCAGATTGCTGGGAACTATGTAAAACTACATAGGGGTAAATGGTGCTTATTACATACAACTAGTATAGTTTATTAGTTACTGGAAGTCTTCTAGTTCATTTATACTATTTTCTTGCAATTTTGATGTACCCTGAGGTGAACTCAGTATATATTGACAGTGAGTGGTTAAATGTGACGTGCCCTTGTTCAGTGTCCCTTGTTCTTTGTTCTTGTATAGGTATTCTCTTAGTTTAAAAAAAAAAAAATTATAGCATGCCAATATTTTGTCTTTGGCCCATTCCCTTTTTCTGAAGTATGTAACTTTTGATTTTTTCTTTGCTATGTTGTGAATAAGAGTAGTTAAATTTTCTATTTTATTGTCTGGTTTTTTTTTTTCTACCCAGATCTTTTCATTCTGAAACTACATTGCTGCTTAGTTTTCTTTAGAGGAAATTGCTACTTGGTATACTTCTAGTAGTAATTCATATTAAGGAACAGCTGGCCAATCTTTTTGGTAATAACTTACCTAAACAATACTTTGAGTACCATATTCTGTGAATGCTATTCTTAAGCTAGGAACCGAATATTCTTTTAAATTCATAGAATTTCTGTATTAAATGGGAAATACATGATCTCTTAAATTGGCTGATTCTCTGTGAAAAATAATAGGCATTGAAGAAAACTTAGGTATGTTAACATTTAGTTTTAGTTGAAAATACGACATTACTATACTTAGAAGAGTTGGTTTATTTTCAGATATTTAAGCTATTTTAGACAATGGCAAATAATAAGATCGATTTTTGGTTGCTTGTTTATAAAGAAGCAAAGAACAGCATGGCATAAACTAACATCCCAGAAATAAATGAGAAATTTTAAGTAATACTACAGTGTCTGTTGACTGACATTGTGTTTCTTAGCTCTGCCCTGAACAGTGAGGCACCTGTTAGGACCACTAGTCTTGGCATCAGAAATGACTAAGTTCTCCTATTATTAAATTCTCATGCCTTTCTTTTCTGATTTGGTTGGTCAAAATTGATAGGTTACTAATGGTTTATGTTTGGTAAGTTTACAGTTCTGCCTGTATCCCGTTATCAATAAGCCTGGTACCAGAACCTCAGAAAGGCTTCATTATTAACGTTTTAAGTACCTATGTGTATATAATAGTTAGCAGACCCCATAGGGAGGTAGGTAAAGAGAGATTTTGGAATTTAATAATGATATTGATCTTTGTTACACCAGTTCATTACATTTGTTTCTCTATAATAACTTTTTATGTGAGTTTTATCATTTGAAAATATATTTACCTCTATTACTTTATTCATGGTTTCCACAACTCTTTCTGTAATACCTCTTTATTTTCTCTATTAGAAAGTATTTTCCTGTTAAATAAGGCATCAGTAGCATCAATCACAGGAAACAGAGAAAATGTATTTAGAAAAACTTGTATTGGTATATTCTAAACTAAAATGGAACAATTCATTATTGATATTTTAATAAATAAAATTTTCCAAATGATCTTGCTAAATTATCCCATTATTTAGAAGTAAAAACTAAGAAAAGAATGTTTTCAAGGAAATTTGTCATAGTCTCCCTTATGTCTAAAAAGTTGGTCATGTATTACAATAAAACCAAGAAAGAACTGAATGCTGAAAATTTACCATAAAGTAATTGATGTTATAATCTTTTTATTTTTGTATATTCATTCCTACAAAATTGAGCTCAAAGTTATTCGTTAAAATTCTGTAATAACTTAAGAAGTAACTCTAGCAGTAGTGGTCAAAGAGGTCTTTCTTCATTATCTTTAACCATAAAGATGTACTTTGACATTTCTTAGGTAAAAACCCATGAGAAATTTTGTAATTGAAGTGTTGGAGAGCTGTTAAATTTTGGTGAGAGATGAACTGCTTGTGTATAATCAATAACTTTTAAAATTTAGATTATATTTAGTAACATTTCATTATGTTTTTAAAAGAAGAATAATCTTTTGAAACACCGTTTTCATGATATAAAAGATATTGAGTTTTGTAGTGTAAGAACATGGGTTCTGGAGATAATCTTACTATCTTTGTACACTGGGAAAGAGAAAAAGGCCTCACCTTTGTCTGTAAAAAAAGGTAATATTACTTCTTGCATCAGGGTTGATGTGAAGATTAAATGGGAATGTATATGTATGCAGGCACCAGACAAGTAGTAAGCCCTTAGCAATGTTAGTGGCTAGTATAAATCATAAAAATACTTGTGCCCATTTATGAATAATGTTTGATTCTCTCCAGTCATGGGGTGTAATAGTAATATCTAAGACCTTAACTGGAGTGCTTAAAGAATGCTAGGTATAATAAAGAACAAATAGGTTCTGATTTCAACTCTCATAAAAATCCATGACTTTACTCTTTTAGCATCTATACATTAAGCCCTACTTGATTCTGTGGACTGTTAGGGACCAAGAATATGGAAATGAAAAATAGCTAATCTCTGGGAAGTTAATTTTTAGTGGGTAAAGCAAATAGGTAAACAAGCATGTAATAGAGCATAATAAATACTGTGATAGACATATGCCTGAGGTGTTGTGGCAATACAAAGAAGAGTTGTTAAATTCAGACTAGGCACGAGAGTGATTAAGCTAAGTCTTTAAGAACAAATAGATCATAGCTAAGGGGATGTGGATAAAGGAACACATGAAGTGACAAGGTGGAGAAGAGTATTCTCAAGGCAGAAAGCTTAGTACATATAAACATGAGAAAAGCATGATACTCTTGGAGAGTTGCTATGTCTAGGTGACAAGTCATGAGATGTATATGACAAACTATAGTTGAAAGATTTAAAGAGTATGTAACTTAAGCAGGAAAGGATCATCACATTTACACTTAAGATTAGAGACAGGTGAGACTAGAGTCAGAGAGACCTGTTAGAAAATTTATGCTAATTCAGGCAAGATGATGAAGGGCAGAACTAAAACAATGACAATAGGGAAAGCCAGAATGTAAGAGCAGATGATTTACAGTAGAACTGACTCTTGCTAGTCTTTG